CGGTATAATATAGCCCAGCCCTAGTTCCAGCCATGTATTCCAGCCCTAACCCTAACCTCGTCCCTATCCCTAACCGTAACCAGCTCTTTAACGACGTAAAATAGTGTTTTCCAAAGCGATTAAAGTAAAATGAATGAACATGTGTAGATTAATTCCAAACGGTTCTCATGTTTCCTCGTTTTTCCAATCTCGTCATTTAGGGACGTGTTGGGTGCCTGGAAGCGTAATATGTTGACGATTTGTCACCTACCGTAAAATATTACGCTTTGGGAGCAAGAATGTGTTGCAGCCCATTGAATATTCCACCGTCAACTGTTATTGGTATTGTAACAAAGAGCAAGTGATTAGGAACAACATCAACTCACAGCAGGGTCAGAGGATGCTGAGGAACATATTGAGTAGTTGCCAACCGTCTGCAGAGGTCAGTCGCTATAGACTTCCAAACCTCACGTGGCCTTCAGATTAGCTTAAGAACAGTGAGAGCAACGTAGAGAGCTGCATCCAAGCCTTACATCACCAAGTGCAATGTAAAGCACTAGTGTAAAGCACACCGAAACTGGACTCTAGAGAAGTGGAGATGTTCTTGTCTATGCATCTCTATCTGGCAATCTGATGGATGAGTTTGGGTTTGGCTGTTGTCAGGCAAACAGTACTTGTCTCACAGCATTGTGCCAAGTCTAAAGTTTTCTGGAGGGGGGACTTATGGTGTGCGGTTGCTTTTTGAGAAGTTGGCCTCTGCCTTACTTAAAATTAAAAGAACTAAAAGATAATTCTAGATACCAAGATATTTTAGACAATTTTAAGCTCCTGGCTTAGTGGGAGAAGTTTGGGAATGGCCGCTTCCTCGTGCAACGACCAGACCACAAAGCAAGGCCATAAAGACATGGATGAGCGACTCCAGTGTGGAAGAACTTGACTGGCCTTGAGTCCTGACCTCAATCTAAAAGAACACTTTTGAGACGAATTAGAGCGGAGACTGCAAGACAGGCCTTCTTGTCCAATATCACAAATATTTCTCTGGAAGAGAGGTCAAAAATTCCCATAATCATGCTCTTAAACCTTGTGGAAAGCCTTTCCAAAAGAGTTGAAGCTGATATAGCTGCAAAAGGTGGGCATGATCACATTAAACCCAATGGATTAAGAATTGAATGCACTCAAGTTTATATGTGTGTGCAGGCAGATGAACAAATACTTTTGGAAATATAGTGCATAAAGCAAGGATTGGACTAAAACTGAATGAAAAGCAGACAGTGTTGAAAGGAAAAATTTGAAAGATATTCAGAAAGACTAGAAAACTATTGCTCAAAAGTACTTTAAAAATGTAAATAAAGTTTGGAAGCAGAATATAAAGAGGGGTGACTCAAGAATTTGGCACATTACTGTATGATCTGCCTTTTAGAAAGCCTAAATTAGCCCCTATTTTTAGACTTTTTAATCGTACATTATTTGTCATTGAAAATGGAAAGGCAAACCTTTTTCTACCTAAAACACTTGAAGACATTACATGAGCAAAGTGGCTGAATTTTTTTACAAGATAATTACTTGTGGAATAGAGTTTGCACCTTTTCTTTTCATTAGTAATCTTTCAGTTGCCAGATTGCCTCATATTTAAGCTCTTTATAAGTCAATTTTCTGTGGGGAAAAAAAGTCAAACACTTTCCCCCAGACTTAAAGTGATTGGAAAAGAAACTCCTCAAGCTATTGAAAAAATGACTGAAGCATTAACAAGGAAAGTGCTGGACAGCAGCCACAGAAACACTGAAAGCAAATGCTCTTTAAATCATTAGGCACATATGGCTGTTATGCATGCCTACCTGTCTCCACCATCTCAGCTATGCGCTTGTCCAGCTGTCTCAGTCCTCACAGGATGCAACCAGTGTTTGTCTAATTGGGTGGAGCTTAAAAGAATAAATGAATACAGTCAGTGTCTGGTCCTGGTGAAAAACAAGATGTTGCCTGTCCAAGTGAAATCACTGATGTCAACAGTTAGCTTCTCTCATTGTGACCTGGCATTTGAGATGATTCTGTCTCTAAAATCAATCGAAAACGTCTTTTGGCACAGCAGCTTTTAGAAATCCAAATATTATAATTCATCTTTGCACTTTTCTTTTTTGTCCTGCAAAATAAATATATATCTCAAGTCTGTTTTCTAAATTGTAGCTGTGTTTCATGAGCGATGGGCAGCTCCGAGAGAAAGAGGGAAAAAACCTAATTATTTCAACAATTACTCTGGATAAATTAGATGTACGGGGCATACTGTGGACCATGAGCTGCCACTGAATTGAAACCGTAATTGCTTTGGCAGATATGCTGTCAGTGGGGCTTGAAGGATGCATGACTGGTGTTGCCAGTTTATTGTGAAACACATAACCAGGAAACAAACACACTTTTCCAAGTGTTTTTTTCCCCGTCTGTTATTTTTGTAGGGGCCACTTTAGAAAAATCTTGATTACTGCCAAAATATCTGTGACTTGAAACATGAAAACATCAGAATAGAATAGAATAGAGTAGAATAGAATAGCCATTTATGGTCATGTACAACGAAATCTCCCCCTGTTAAATGTGTTTATGTGGGGTTACGTGTCACTTATGCTGATATTTATATGGACGATGTAGCCTTCTGGCTTAATCTGGCATATTTACATGGATATATGTTAACTAATATGTCCCTTTTAAATAAATACATTCAAAAAATTCAAAAAATAGCTAGCATTGCTAAGCTAAAGGATGTATTTCTTTTTGCATTTTTATTATCACTTTTGATCACTTCAGCAAATATTATTGCACAAAAGAAAGGTTGGGAGCCTTTCTTTTCTAGACGGTGCTGACTTCAGCTTCTTGGTTAAATGTCAACTATACGTGTCTCCAGTTTATGCAAGCTATTACTCATTAGCTCTATATGTAACTTGCCTGCTAACCAGTCTGTTCCAAAAGTCATGCACTGTCAAGGAACCCCTGTGACGCCCCTCTTTGACTGCCATCATTTTGTTATTGCAGTTTTATTAATTAAGCTGCTAAAACTGAAACAATCCTCTATTTTATTCTTGATTTTAACACATTATTAAGCACTACTAATAAGTCATATGAGAGTTATTATCCACAGTAAACAAGCCGTGGGAGCTTGTAACTAATATAATTTTCTTTCAACCGTTAAAGCCTTTAGCACCTTTATGCTTATTTTTTGGGTTTTAGGATCAACATTCAGCACCATGTGTTTAGCATCAGGCATCTGTTTTCAGTTAAGAGGTTTTAATAAATTAATAAAGAGATTATAAAAATTAATACATTAATAAATAAATAAATCTGTGTGCAAAGTTCGAATGTTATAGAAAACAAAAGTAACAATTATCCTATGAACACAGGGAAACATATAATGGCTAAAGAAACAAATCGAGAACTAAATGGAGAGTAGATATGGAGATATATCAGGCTAAAACTGGATGGATTTATTTGCTTTTAATCTCAGAGTAGGTTAAGATGGGACTTAACCTATGCAGATTAAGATATGCAGGAGGCCAACGCCAGCATCAGTGTATAAATGCATATACAGAGTCTGCATTGCTCTCCCATTACACCACAAGACCACCAGCTGACACTGAGTTTAGTATGCTCCAGAGTTTTCTTTATGTTAATGATATGTTATTAATAACATGGCTAACTTGGCAGAATACTTGCTACTATACTTGTATCTTGCAAGCCAGATGCATGTTTTTTGTCCACTAAGTATGAAGAAAAAGTGTTAGGGTCAGGGTCATCACACATGATGACTTAGAGCTCATATCAATCAATTACTTTGCTTGCATGTTGTTTGCATTTTTGTTTCAGAAGACCTACATCCCATCTTGACAGAGGATAGGCTAGCTCATGACATTCTACCTTTCGCAGCTTTAATAACCCCTAGGAGGAAGTAAATATAACTTATCTGTCACTATAAAAGATGGAAGAAGATGAGAATCCACTTGAAACAAATTTCCAATTATAAAAGGCAATTTGGCAAACGTTTTAGGTGAAAGGGTCAGAATCCAATCTTAGAGCACAGATTAGCATAATTGCCCATAAAGGCTAATTTAGCTTCCTTAAATCTTAATTTGGAAACTTGCCCCTCTGTCTCTGGGACAGAGATGGCTGTTTTGGGAAGGAGTGGCTTCACATTGTGAAGGGGAGCAGAGGTTGCTCACATCACAGGGAGCTGTCATGCACTTGGAAATTTCAATTATTTGCTCCACACAGCAGTGGTTTGGGCTGCATGTGTTTTACATTTTACACAAGGTGGTTGTTTTTAACAGAATGACTCATAATTAAGAAGCATTGTGAAGTCTGTGAGTGTGTGTCTTTATGATTCACTCAGCTTTTTCTTCATCCACAGGAGACCAGAATAAACTGCATTCGGATTGCTCGCAAAGGTAAAACTTACATTTTCACATCAAATAAGCTATAATATCACACATTAGTTATCACTTCAGAATTACTTAAATACAGAAATAACTATTTACAGCCATAAATGCTGTTTGATGTATTCCATGACATACATGGTCCCAGTGGTTGACCTCTAAAGACTTTGGTGAGCCTCTGGCTCTTTCTATGACAGACATCCGTGGTTCCTGGAGATAGATAATAAGTGCATGTAGCCACTTTAAGGCCACCCATATGTTACACAGCAGTGGCTATATACTCACTTCCCATTTCACCAGCACATCATATTCATCAGCTGCACATCAATGACTTTAATCTTCTGTTCTGCCACATCCCAAAGATGCTCTATTCAATTGAAATCTGGTGTTTGTGGAGGCCACTAGAGTACAGATAAGCGCAACTAATTGTCATGTCACCCCAACCGGTCGCAGCAGATGGCCCCGCCCATCCCTGAGCCTGGTTCTGCCGGAGGTTTCTTCCTTTTAAAAGGGAGTTTTTCCTTCCCACTGTCACCAAAGTGCTTGCTCATAGGGGGTCATATGATTGTTGTTTTTCTCTGTATGTATTATTGTAGGGTCTACCTTACAATATAAAGCACCTTGAGTGACTGTTGTTGTGCTTTGGCGCTGTATAAATATAATTGAGCTGAATGTTCAAGAAACCAGTATGAGATGATTAAAGCTTTGTGACATACCATGTCATGCTGTTGGAAGCAGCCATTAGAAGATGGGTACACTGTGGTGATAAAGACATAGACATCACTTGCAGTTCAGTTTAAGGTTATTTACAAATCAATTAAAATGTAATTTCAAGCTGTCCAATAATTCCAAATATCAGATAAAACACTTAAAAATACAAATGTATCATTTCAAACATCATTATAATACTGTACGTTCTCAAAAATGTCCTAAAATTTGTTTAAAGATCTTACAGTATAATAATACTAATCAAGACACTGACACATGGAAATCGTACTGTGAATAAATTGGAAAGTATACTTTACATGCGACACTAGTTCCTGTTCAGCTGTTCCTGAAGACAGAGAAAGATTTTTTTAATGAGCTCATTCTAGACGTGGACCTCTACAGGTCACAATAAAACTTGTACATATGAGTTTGTTTCTTTCCCTCAAGAAATGTTTTCCCTCTTATTTATGTGTGAAATGAATTGACAAATAATTTAGGACAAGATCTCAAAGTTTGTCTTGGGCACTACGTTATATATTACATAGGAATTGTCGCTGACCACCCCCTAAAATTTGCTGGCCCCTCCAATGAATCAATCAGTCACTTTAAAGAAAGATTATTATTGATTTCAAAATCTTATTTGGTTGTCATGTGTACCTGTTTTCAGTGATATCAATTTTAATATCAGGAAATTAACTAGTCATATCATTCTTTTCTTTCTCTCTTTTTTGTCATATTTTTCAAGTAATCTATATTTGACAGCAAAATAGCAAAATAGTAAAATAAAATGGGAAATTCTGTTTTTGGTGTGCCACCATGTTTAGTGGCCTCTAAATGAAAAAAATTCTGCACCCGTGCAGACACCAAGAGTCATCAGATTAGGCAACGTTTTTGCAATCTTCTCTTTCCCAAATTTCGTGAGCCAAATTGCAGCAACACCCCGTACAGTCTGCTGCTGTACTGACCAGCTTCAGGGTTTGGCTTGCTATGCACTCAGGTGCTTTTTTTTTTTTTTTTTACCTTGGTTATAATGAGCGGTTATTTGAGTTACTGTTGCTTTCCTATCTGCTCAAAGCGGTATGGCCATTGTCCTTGTCTCCTCCTAGAGAATTGCTGCTCACTGGATACGTTCTCTTTCATGGACCTTTCTCTATAAATCTATATGTGTGGCAAAAAATTCCAGTAGATCAGTAATATCTAGTGTGATTGCTGATCTAGTGGTCTAATAGACAGAGTGGTCCACACCATTCAAGCCACTGTGTCTGGTGTCATGCTGCATACATTCAGATTCACTTAAATCGCTTTTCTTCCCCACCATGATCGTGATCATGTATACTTGCCTGAACATGTTGATTTGCTGTCTTATAATTGGCTGATATTTGTGTCAACAAGCAGTTGTACCTATTTGTATTGAAGAATTCAGCAAATCATCTGAAAACCTTTTTTTTCTACTTCAGTGTGTCAGCTTTTGTTCAAATTTATATCAAGTTGAAGCCAAACCATGTAAAGGAAATTCTAAATTTACAGTTGTCAGCTTATTAATATTTTCAGATACACTATTTATGTATTTATGTTGCACTTTATTTGCTCACACATGCACAGTTATTTGTGGAATCCATCATTATGACTATAAGCAGTAAAAGTTATATCAGAAGCAGTTTATATAAACATTAGCAGCACCACTGAGGGGACTCAGAGGGTGCCAGTCATCTTTTTCTTGTCACCATAATGTTGAATAAGTCAAAGTAAATCTCTAGGTAAACGTAACCACTACTACCACTACATCCTTTGTGCTTCAGTGGTGCAGGGCGCATGTCAGGGAGTTTGTCAGTTGTTCTGGATCAGGCTTAGGATATTTGACACGGCCTTAGTGTTGCTTTGGGTGTTGCAGGGAGGAAGCTCTCTTGCCAATCTGCCCGCAGCCCTGAGACAGTAGAGAAAAGGTGAAAGCAAACATGCATCACTGTTCTCACTCAGTACCTCTTGAATCACTGACACTGACATTTTGGCAACCCCCCCCCTCTCCTTGGGCTTTGATGGCTTTGAAATCCACAGTGCAACAAGGTTCCCTCCCCCCACCCGCCCCTTGTGCCTGAGAGAGGAAGCGACCAGGAGTGTTTGCTTGACAGGCAGACACTGATAGAAGCCTTTCAGTTCAAACAATCAGGGGATGGGAGAGATACAGCAGGTGAAATTAACTTTTTCCAGCCTTCTTCCCTGCTGAATTATGCTTCAAGTTAGTAATGCTCTAGAGAACGGTGGCAGTTAAATTGCATTATCTTCCCTGTGAACTCTTTCATATGAGAAGTGACATTAAGACATCAAAGAATTCTGCCATACTATTGTCTGCCAGCTTGCCACTTAAGCAGAAGAGGTGGGTTGGAGGCATATTTTGTACTGTATTTGTGCATATGGTAGAGAACCTGCTGATATGACTAAACCTCTCTTGGAGGTCCCTATAAGACCATTTCTGCAGGTTCTTATGTCACCAAGAAACCAATTATAGGGTGTGTTTGTTTTTTTTTACCTCCTGGTGTTTTGGTGCTTTTCTCTTCTTTTTTTTTTGTCCCCAGAAATATGCCATTGGCCAACTGTGCAGAACAATAACATTTTCATTAAACATCAAGTTGTCTCAAGAAGACACCTTATTCTGTGACAAGAGGAGGTGTTTATTTACCTCAGCTCAGCCACAAGAAAGGCGTGAATCTTACATTTAGCTTTTGAGATTTCTGCTTAAAACCGGTTTGACAGCTGAATGGAATCACATCACACCATCAATTCTTAAATAACTTTTTTTCTTATTTACCGCAGATATCGAGAGACGCCGATCTTTTTTTAAAAACAACTTCTTTTTTTTTTTTATCTGGCAGCTTCAAGTAATATGTGGCCAGGAAAGTGTGTATTTTGTCACTTGAGGGTCTCTGATCTGCTCCCTTTTTAAGCTGCTGCTGATGTTGTTTTGCTGTTAATGCAGAGTCGACACTTCCTACATCTCCTGATGAAATCTGCTTTAGCATTCAGTCTAATAACATTTGTCATTCTTCTGCTCTGGCTTCTTATTGGCTAACTTATTCTAATTTGTTCTAAGCTGAATTTTCTTCCAGTCTGTATTAAGGCAATGCAGTGTGTTGACACTATGCATAAGTGCTTTTCGTTCCCTCTCTGAGTTTATCTCCTGGAGATAAAAGTTGTTACTAACTGGTTGCGGTTCATTTTGCAATTATGTTTTTTCCCACTAATCCGAAGGTACTGTTGTACTGTTGTGATGTTTTCTAGTTACTGCCTCCAAGGGTTATGTTTTAGGTAGTGTCAGTGTCATTCTGTCTGTCTTCAGAAAGTTTTAGTTGAATTCTGATAAAAATGTGTAGTGGCTGTAGAGTGGAGTCATGGTAACAATCCATTTAAATTTGCCTTATATTCTTACAAGTGTGGTGGTTATTGTCAACATATAGAAAGTGCAGTATAAAGATTTTAAACATCATGTCACATCTGACCTTTGACCTCTCCTTTAAGGTCAACAGATTGATCTGAAGATATGCTATATAAAGATTTTTTTTCCTTAATGCCATTTTTTTTACTGGCAACATATGGAGAATGGTATATGGAGAGCTTAACTATCAAGTTACTTTGGGCCTCTGACATCCTCTTTAGGGTCAAATGAGGAAAATAAATTGATAAACTGTCTCTTATCTTTAACACAACGCTTAAAGTTCTACTGCCTGTCTTTGTATTGGCAGCATTTAGGAAATGATAATGGTATATGAGGATTCTAAATATCACGTTATAGTTTGTCACATTTGACCTCTAAACTCAATTTCCTATTTCACATCCTTCCTTTCAAATTGATCCCAGAATACGTTATATCTTAAAGAAAGTATTGTCATGACAAAGAGAACGATGTGCCTCGTTAGCTGCCCAGTATGTTAACGGGAGTGAGCTGCCTTGGCACAGGTTTGCACTCTGAGTGCTACTTCCTAAATTTGTTTCTGCACTTTTTGTTACATTTTTGTTTCATAACTTATTTCAGACAAATAATGTAAGTTACAAAAGATTAATTTCCTTGACTTTGTCTTAACATTGACTGAAAAACAGAGCAAAGCATAAGAGTTTGGATAGTTCAGCGAAGGAGGATAGCAATGAATTTTATGAAAGAGTCTTTGCAAAAAGTGGAGACTGTGACATTTGCTGTTGTACTTAATTTACCTGCACGCTATAGTCCATTGCAATCTTTTTCCAGTTTGTTGGATTTACATTATGTGCATACTAAATCCTAGCCAAATGCATCCTGCCTGATAAATAGTAAACCGACACAAGGAAATTATAAATGATGGCGAGAAGGTTTACTGCACCCATGGTTTCCTGTTGATGACCACTGCCATGAATTCAACCATGCTAGCCATTTTCTAAATATGCCTCTAAAGACAGAATGACTCACCCAGTGTGATTTGCGTGATTATGGCAAGTCTGTCAGGCTGCTGTATTCTCTGCCAGGAGCTATAGTCACCACCAATCCACAGCTTATCAAGCCAAACTCAGCATCCTGCCTCACTGCAAACACCCCCACCGCACTCCACACACGCATACACACAAGTCTTTTCGGTAGAAGGCACTAACTTCAATTTGAAACATCTTTGCTTTGTTGAGCCTTTATCCTGCTCTGCCAAGCACGCTGAGACAGGCCCAGGACCCCGTGATGATTACATTTCTCTGTATTTTCTCTCATTCCCAACTCTATTTGTTTTCTCATCAGCAAGAGGTGGCTTGTTAATAATGTCACGAGTGCAATAATACTTCTTCAATTCATTGATAGTTAATAACAATGTTTCACCTTTTGATAAAACACCACAGGGAGCTCTGCTGAATCACGGAGAGAGAAGAATTCTGCTCTGTTGTCTAGCTCAGATGGCAGCACAGACAGACATGTGAATGCGGCATATGGGTTGGAAGGAAATAGCAGCCTGATTGAGAGCTTGCATCAGCTCAGTGAGATAACCGACCCCGCATCCTTTCTCCCAAGCCAAGTATGTTTAGCTTCTCTTTGTAGAGAAGCTGAGTATTCACGACACTGATGTCAGCGCATGAGAACGCTGTTCAAGCCTTTCCAAATATCTTCTAGTAAGGGCTTTATTTTTGGGCAGCCTCTAGCGATTAAGTACAACAAGTCATTTGAATGGTGAGACACTGGCTTGCTTGTTTACGACCGTGCACGTTAGCCCGAGACAGTCTTGCATAACTTTGAACTTCCCTCAATACTCAGCTTTGCTTATATCAGCCTTTCGAATAGTTTCTTTAATCTTTCTAGCATGGCCATAATGTTTGAATGCATAACTGAACATATTATATGAATTAGTTCATATTGGGCCATCTTTGAAGCATTTAATGCAGATTCTTTGAAGCTGTTCTCAGCAGAGTGCTCAACCCAAATTAATCTGAAATGCATACAATTAGGATAGGATGCCATATCAGGTAAATCTTGCTTTGCATTTCCCTCTAGCAACCCTCCATAATTAGATGATTTTTTTTTTAATGTGAAACACTACCCCAGTCATTAATCTAGATTCAATAAAGAGTGACGACTTTGTTTACTCAAATGTACTCTTTCACCTATAGAAGACGTACGGTTGAATTTTAAATCAAACAATGGCACAAAAAATGTGTCAACTCAAGTTAATTGCAGGGGAGGGAATATTATCCGTATGTAATGTTTTTCAGAAGCTGTCGAGTGAGAAAGACCCCAAGGAATCCATCTCTCTGGTTACCTGTCATTTGAATTTTCTGAGCGTCATATTTGATAGCGTAATGTTAAGAGATATATTCTAAAACACTTCTTCAGTAAAGAATCAGAGAAGAGAAACACACAGATTTTCTTGCTAGCAAGGGCAGCCTCCAGAACTCACACTCCAAGAGTGAGGCTCAGAGACTAAGCACTGAGGACTGCCCTGGTCCTTTATTTATACACTTCAGTGAGCGTTTGTTCCTTACATTGGAATGTGGAGGTGTACGTGTGTGTGTGTGTGTGTGTGTGGGGAGAGTGTGACCCCATGAATGACTTCCCTAAACTTGCTGGTCTGGAAAATCCGTCAGTTCATCTATATGTAAAAAAGGCACTTAGACTAAAACTGACATAGCTACGTTAATCCTACTGTAAAACAATAAGACAAGGTACAACCTTTCCCATGCTCCTAGGATGTGGGGGTGAACGCCAGAACACCCTGGAATGTTACAGACCTCCTAGGATGAGACATTCTTTCAATATGCCACCAACTATATACTTCTAAACACAAATGATTACCGGTACATGCAGTATTCTACCATATTCAAACTTATATCATTAAAAGATTATACTGACTACTAAGTACAATTTTCCATTGACACATGACATTTTCAAGAACAACTCCATCACCCTAACTAATACACAGAAAAGAGAAAGCTTTTATAAAGATATGGAGCAAAAAGATCAACAGCAACATTAGGTGCACGATCGCTTCTTATGTCAGCACACCAGGACGCAGATGAGTTATATTTACCAGGAGGTGCAGCGCATGCACTCGAAGATTATTACCTGTTTTGTCACAACGTCAAAACAAGGAAATACAAATAAATGGACCTCCGCAGTATGTCCTCCTTTTCCACCTCTGAAGCATTAATGTTATCTTGTAAAATGTTATCTTTTCAAAATCCAAGAAAAAAATTAAAAAGTTAAAAATCTAATATTTCCATCTCATGAACAGAAATCTGCTACTCCGCGACTTTAGCTATACAACGTCATGTACCACACAGCTTCATTTCCCATCCCTCTCTCTCACTCTGTGTCGTCATAACCCCTCCACCACCCCAACATCTACCTGTAGGCTCTGCGAGATACTTTACTTATCACTTCCAGATTTGTAGCAAATTTGAGCTCAGAGCCAGAACAGTCCACTCCATCCTTCTGCTGTTATAAATCAGTCATTTCAAGCTTGAGTTGTATGAGTAAATCATCTTTTCTTGGTCATTGCGGTGAGTCAACATTTACGTTCTGTTTGTGATAATAATCCTGTGGTGTGCCAAAAATCAATACAAGATTCCAGCAGATTGAGAAAGTCAATTGTGTTTACGGTTTTGTTTGTTTATGGTAATGATCCAAAATCGATCATTTATTGACACTGAATCACTAACTGTTGCACCTAGAGTTTGCATTTAGAAATGAATAATTATTGATAGTGGAGGCTGTCTTTGTAAATTTCTCACTTCCTCACCTGTCCATCATGGCTAATTTGCAGCTGCTTGTAAGGATTCGAAGAGGGCTCTGGAGGTATCCCAGCATGCTGAGGACATGGGCCTGATCCTGGGAGCCTGCGCCGGCGGCCTCGTGGTCCTCATTCTACTGCTGGGGGCCATCGTCATTATCGTCAAGAAGGGGTGAGTGGCTGCGAAAATGTTTGTCTGCTGGCCAGCCGACATGAGATGGGTTAGAGCTTTTCACAGTTAAACATTTATGGTTTGAAGTCTTATTGTTCCTGCATAGGCCATCCAGAGGAGTAAATTTATCTCTATCCCACTTGGCAGCTAGGGTCTATTGAGGAAAGCATTTGGCAGTGAGAGTGAATTACAACCAGAGTTAGTGGAATGGTAGAGCATTAATCCTAAACTCTCCCACTGCTGCCTCAGCCGAGCTTTTGTGTTTCTCATCTCATCTTTTAATTTCAAGGTCTGCGTGTTGGCTGAACACATTCAAATGCAGCCTGTTCGCACTGGAATCGCTGGCTGCTTTCCACCTGCAAATTACCTCTGTCGTCGATCGCACCTGCAGTGTATTCTTCCTTTGCTCGCTGGGCAATAGTGGAACACTCATCTGAGTGTGAAATATTTCATCAAGGGGCATGTTATTCCATTGCCCACTCAATTACATGAGGCAAGCAGCTGTGAGGTGCCAGTGGATGGGCTAGTAATTGGTTAGGAAGGTTGTTTTTTTTGCTTTTTTTTGTTGAGGCAGTGGGTAGGGGTGGGCTCCTCAGCCCTGAGGAATTTTTTTTTGCTGTGAATAGAGGGAGAATGAATGGGGATGTCTGGAGGAAGGCGGTGACTGATAAGATTCACTGGGCCAATCTAGCCACCACAATAGAAACTAGACAGCCGCACGGGTGCAATGGGAGCAGACCTGTTTATATTTAGGCACATGATATTATCTCTCTGCATGTACAAAGAGAGACTGTATACATTAATGTTTTCAGTTATCATTTGGAATATCAGAGATCCCTGCATAGTGGCATATTCAGGAGAGTGCTGGTTAAATGCAGACAGGAGTCAAAAACAAAGGATGTGCTTGCTGCATGCCACATTTCAGCTTTAAACCAACTTTAAACTTTGTGATATTAATGGGAACACTTGCGAAGTGAAGGTGGAGGAGTCAACAGCTCATTATGTTTCATCAGGCTCACTCAAAGCTAATGAACCTAAGAGCAAAATAAACAAGTGTTAAAAAAAATGAATCCATCATTTAAGGATGAAATCAACTTAAATATTAAGCTAAAATATATGAAAAATGGAAAAGTCTTGATAGATTTAGATGCCACAGTCAGGTAGATTAGATTAGATTACATGTTTTTTGAGCATCAATTTAAAATACACACTACCGCTTTTTATATCTCATAGATTAAGTCAGTTGTTTTTGGATAGTTGTGATTCTTCTTATTGTAACTTCATGAAAAATGAGTCATTCGGTTCTTGGGGTTCAGATTTTATATTTTGTTTTTCGCAACACTACTTAACTGTTAGATCAGTTTCACATGAACTAAAACAAGTCAATCAAATCAACAATCTAACACACGAAGCGAAACTGAACATGATGGACACCAGACAGGAGACTATCAAAGTAAAACAGAAATTGCAGGGAGCACACACACTGAGACGCAGACTGAGGAAAGAGAGAGTGAGGGACAAAAGGGACAAATGACGAGAAAGGGTGTGAAAAACCAGACACACCCACACAGACATGATTAGACGATCATGAAAACCTAGCTGGGGGAATGCTGAGGGAAGGACACGGAGACATGAATGGAACCAAATAACAACCAAGACATCCTGAACTAGAAACACTGAATAAAGTCAAGGGTGTAAGCAAACTAAACTAGGAAATATAAAATACACAGAGAACATAACGAATAAATAAGACTCCGATAACACAAAGTAAACCCAAAGCACTGGGTCAACAACCCAGGAACCCTAACACAGTCTGCTTATAAACACAACACAGACCCGCAAAGGAAATCCTGTGATTAACAAAGCAGTGATGGAATACAGATTTTTTTAAAGCTAGCTTTGTTGATTTTTAAAATGTGATATGATTAATCTTTCCTTTAGAAAAAAAACCCCTCTTAGTTCCCTAAAATGTTCCCAAACGGCAAACATAAGGCACCTTCAATGTATTTAATGAGGTTAATCCAAATGAAAGATGCACACACACCTCTATACGATCAGTTTTATTTATGATATGCTTTTGTTCTTAGACCTCCATTAGTTGAAATTTTTAAAAATCTTTTGTTGGTCCCAATGTGAGTTGTGTTATGAGGTGAGCCTGTCTTCTGCCTCACGATGGCCAGCCAGGAACATTCCAACACACTGAGCATCTTCATTTATCTTTCTGATGCCCATCTTGATAAACCATAGTCACCTCTCTTTTTTTTCTCCTCACTCTCTGTCTCTCTCCTTTCCTCCTCCTTCATGCTAATCAGAAGGGACTTCTATTCTTACCCTTACTACCCGTAAGTTACTCCTTTCTCCATCTTCCACCCTGATGCCATTTTCCCCTTGCTTTGTAGACCCAGGATTACTAGAGTGGAAATAAGCATTGCTATCTCCACCACATTCTCAAATCGACCCCCCACCCACCACCAAACACACACATACACAAACAAGCACACATAAACACACACACCACTTCAGCAGAACCTTACTGCAACCCATGACACCCTCTTGCTATCACCAGATCTCACTTTTCCCCTCGTCCAGTTTCAATCTTGTGGCCCTTATATTTCCCTTTCACTCCAATTTCTCATCTCCTCACCCACCCTCCTTTCCTTTATTCCTTATCTCTTTGCCTGTCTTTCTCTCACTTCTCACCTTCTCTGCCATCCTCTGTCTGTATTTGCTCCCTGCCTTTCTCTATCCTCCCACCTCTCTTCCTGCCTCTCTACAGTAGGAAGAAGGTGGCCATAAACAAGGCAGCCATGTCCTACAGGCAGGAGAAGAGTCGGAAGCTGAGCTCTCTGGATTGCAGCATGACAGAGCAGAGCACTCTCCAGCAAGATGAGAGGATGGCCCACTCCTTCATGGATGCCCACGGCTGCAATGCTCGAAGTAAGGCAGCAAGGACCACATGAGTACTTTTGAGAAAGTGTCTAGAGAGAATGCAGCTTCCTGCTTTCTGACCTTCAGCCATGTTTGCAAACATATATCCAATCTGTCCTGTCAAAACGTAAGATGCTTTGGACAGAGAAATCTCCTGAAAGGCTCTTGTCTGTTTGAATATACTGCAGCACCAGTCAGCACTCACATCTCTGCAGAAATGCTGACTTTTTCCTTTAAGCTGCCCCCTAGACTTTTTTACATTAATAAAAAAGAACAGAGCATGTGCCGCAGAATCCTCAGTGTCAGCTGGATGCCTTGAACTGTATCTGTTTGTGTTCCCAGATGAGCAGCGTAGCTCTGTCAATGAGTCTAGCAGTTTACTGGGAGGCTCACCCCAACGTCACTGTCGGAGGAAAAGCTCGCCATATCACACGGGTCAGCTCCATCCTGCTGTAAGGGTGGCTGACCTTCTCCAGCACATCAACCAGATGAAGACAGCTGAGGGATATGGTTTCAAACAAGAGTATGAGGTAAGGCATGTATGAAAAACACACACTTTCATTTGTGCTTTTTTTTCCATTAGGTTTAGCTAAAAATTTAGTTTTTTGTTATGTTGCAATTTTAATTGTCTATCTGTAAATGTATGTAGTTATTTAAATTGTTAATCCACTTTGTTAGCTTAATGGTATCCACATAGTCCAATGTGTCTCAATCCCTGTTTTGAGTATGTACACCCACACTAACAAATATGACTACACAATATAAGCCATGAGTATGTCAGTTTTCCAGTATTTAACAGTCAAAGGTATATAGTGTGCAACACTGTATACTTCTCTCTCTAAGCATACAGCGTGATGCAAAGGTTTGAAACTACCCCTCATGTATTCATAGTTTCCTTCCAAAAAGCCAGACTTTCTTATAAAATTTTAAAGTGGTCTTGTGGTTCTCCCGGGTTTCTCAAGGTCTTTCAAAGTTTTTCTTTGGACTTTGGCTTTTTTATATTCAGTCCTGTTAGATTGGCACATTACACAAGAACTTGACTGAAAATCAGTGGCAACAATTCGATGATGAATCCAAAAGTGACATTTTGAGATAAAATTGTTGTCAGTCTAAATGGAAATGCCAGGAATAAGGTGCAACAGTGAGTGTCAACAACCATCTGTAAACCATGGTGGTGACGCAGTCATGTTTTTTGGCTGCATTTGAGCCGAGGTGTTGGGGACCTTGTCAAAATCAATGGAATTAAAATTGCCAAAAAATACTGTCAGATTTTGATCTACCATGGTAATACCACCTGGAAAGCATTTGATTGGCTTCATCTTTCAGTATGATATTCATCCCAATGGAGTAAAAGTCACTGGATAAAAAAAATCTATCAGTTATGGATTGGCCTTATAGAACCCATACCTCTGCACTATTGAAGCTTATCTTGACAAAGAATGACACAAAAGGAAGTAAAAAATCAAAGAAGAGGGTTGTCCCTCAAAAAGCAATGTAAGAATGAGGGGTAGCACAAGACTTTTTTACAGTATTGTAGCTAGAGGGGAAGTCCTACCACGAAATTTGTAAATGAAATGTTAATGCAAAATTCTGTGACTATTAGCCAACTAGCCTAAAGTTAGTTTGTTTGTTTTTTGGGGGGGGGGGGCAATGACATTGCCTGTGTTTGTCATAGTCTGATATTCATGTCTGGTTTGCTGTCATCTTTACCTATAAGACTTTAGTATTATGTTTGGTCAAGGACTTGACAATGGGCCTACTAGCAAGACATGTAAAATGTTGTAGTTCACTTTTGAAGTAAGTAAAATGTTGATCATTTTTGACAGGTATTTAAAGAGTTTATCTTATATTCTAGAAAATTAGCTATCAAATTCAATGGTTTATTTAGACGATAGAAATTACTTATGTAGTTTTAATTATTTATTCTACTAGCTAGAAATTTCTACTGCTAGCTAGCCCAATCATTAGTTTGCTCTCATGCATCTAATTATTACTTTACATCTAATTATTACTCAATTTATCTATTAAATCAGTTCCAAACTACTCAGTTCTGTATTCAAGTTTGTGTTTTTTTGTTTGTTTTAATTAGTTGAGCTATTTTTGCCAGATGCTCTCTAGCTACCGTTTGCTGTAACCTGTCGCTAGTCCTGGTGCTAGCTGCCAAGCCATATGTACCTTTGGTCTTGGCTGTTTTTGTTTGTTTTTTTCTTTTTTGATTTGACAAAGTTACAGTCTTTCAAAGTGTTGAATCATATTATGCTTCCGTATTTGTTTTATTGGTTTGCTGTCAACTTCTAGTATACAAAGCCAGTTCCATGACAAATTGATTTTGTTAGCTTGAAGTTGAAGAACCTGCACAGAGCAAAAGTCACTGGTCAACACACCTCTTTAAAGAACATTACACCTAAGGGCCTCATACCTGTGAAATTTCATTTATTTCTTTGTAGCTGAGAAAAATAAGTGAATCATTTGTCAGATAGCATCACGTCAAAATTCCCGATATGTTACACAGTGTACAGACCCATCTGTATAATATTCCAGACCAGTGCTGTCTGTTTTGAAGCATTTTAAATGGGGTCTTGAATATTCATGAGCATGAGCAGTAACATATGTTTTTGACTTCATTTGCATTACAGAGTTAATGCATATATACTGAACATTCTTCTTATAAGAGCACTAATTACTATTTCCAAAGTTACGCCACTCAGAGTTCTGGTTAATATAATATAAAATTCTCAACATCATCCAGTTGTGATAGGAATTTTTTTTTCTCTGCACCTACAGCTGCAGGAAGCCAGATGCACTTTTTCAATTCATTAAGCTATCACCTGAGGGGCCAACAAATCCCCCCCTCCTCCAAAATCAATATATGGGTTGCTTTTTCACTCCTCAGTCTGGCTCCTCATCGCCTGGAGAAATAAACAAGATGAAGGGGATCAGCCTGCACTCTGCTGTCAGACTTCATAACCCTTATTTCCCACAGGGTCACACTGCTGCTGCCATTGATCAGACATGTTGCAAGGCATTGTGGGGGGG